GAAGGCAGCTAGAGGATTGTCTACATAAGGAGGAAATAAATTGGAGGCAAAAATCTCGATGCAAATGGCTGCAAGAGGGAGATAGAAATACCATATTTTTTTCATTCTGTGGCAAATGGAAGGGGAAGGAAAAGCATGATCTCAAGATTGGAAGTGGATGGTGTTGCTCTAACACAACAAGATGAAATAGCAGGAGCATTTGTTGAACACTTTAAGTCCATATTAAGAAGGCCACTCAGGAGGGGGATGTGGCTTGAAGGTTTGGATTGGCCAAATGTAGGGGAGGATAATAGGCAAAGGTTGGAAAGAAGGTTTGAGTTGGATGAGATTAAGGAGGTTGTGTTTTCTATGGACAGAACAAAAGCTCTAAGCCCGGATGGTTTTACAATGGCCTTCTATCAAGATTGTTGGGATATCGTGAAATGTGACCTACTAGTGTTTGAGGAATTTTATAGAAGAGGTGTGGTCAACCCGGGTCTGAATTCCACTTTTCTAGCATTGGTCCCTAAGAAGAAAGACGGTTCCCACCCTAAGGACTTTAGGCCAATCAGTCTGATAAACAGCTTGTATAAGATCATTGCAAAGGTTTTGTCTCTGAGGTTGAAGGAAGTATTGCCAACAATAATCTCTCCAAATCAAGGAGCTTTCGTGAATGGGAGATAGATTACTAATCAAATCTTAATTTCCAATGAAAGCGTGGAGAACTTCAAGAAGAACAGGAAGAGGGTAGTGGCTATAAGATGGATTTGGAAAAGGCTTATGACTTGGTGGAGTGGTCATTCTTAATGAAAGTTATGTCCAATTTTGGGTTCGGGACTAAATGGTGTAAATGGATCTTGGGGTGTGTTCGGAACTGTCATTATGTTGTGCTAGTGAATGGGACAGTGGTGGGTTTTTTTCCAGCTGTTAGGGAATAAGACAGAGTGACCCCCTTTCTGGGGAGATTGATTCATAGAGCAGATTCTAGGGGACTTGTTAGAGGATAGAGACTAGGGATGGAGGATATTCCCCTTACCCACTTACAGTTTGCAGATGATACAATTCTGTTTTGTGAAGGTGGGAACTTGAGTTATATCAAGAATTTGAAGTTGGCAATACAACTTTTTGAACAAATGTCCAACCTAAAGGCGAATTTTGAGAAAAGTTGTGTTGTGGGTGTGAATTTGGAGAAGGGTGAGATCAGGGAAAGTGTAGAAATATTGGGTTGTGAAGTCTCAGGTTGGCCATTGAATTACCTAGGGATTCCTTTGGGTGATAACCCAAAGAAGGAGAGTTTTTGGAATCCGGTGGTGGAAAGATTTGAAAAGAGACTTGCCTCTTAGAAGAAGAATTATCTTTCCCTTGGCAGGAGGATTACACTGATTAAGGCTGCTCTAGCTAATTTGCCCATTTACTTTCTCTCAGTGTTCAAAATTCCTACAAAGGTATCTAACAGATTGGAGAAGATGATGAGAGATTTCCTATGGAAGCCGGGAGAGGATAAAAGGGACCATAGGGTGAGTTGGGAGGTGGTGACCAGAAGTAAAAACCTTGGTGTCTTGGGGCTTGGGAACATCAGGAAAATGAATATGGCTCTTTTGGGAAATGGTTATGGAGGCTCCCAATAGAAAAGGAGAGACTATGGGCTAGAATAGTGGTAAGCAAACACCGGATGGAGCAAAATGGATGGGATGATGGGATCTGAGCTAGGACCACAAGTATGTCACTGTGGAAAGCCATTCACGATTTTCTTCCATCTTTCACCCCTCTCATCAAGTATGATCTAAACTCAGGTAATTCCATAAAATTCTGGGAACAAACTTGGGTGGGGAATGCCCCTCTTAAGGATTTGTTTCCTTTTGTGTATGCCCTCTCCGAATTAAAAAATGAGCCAGTTTCTTCCTTTATTACCCCTTCACCTTCCTCTTCTAGGTTTGGCTGGAATTTGGGTTTGAAAAGGGCAATGAGAGATAGACTTGGATTGTATCTCGAGCCTCCTAGGTATCCTTGATAATGTTTTCTTGGACCCTACTAAGTTGGATTCTAGAATTTGGACCCCCACCCCCACTAGCTCATTTTCTTGTGCCTCTTTGGCCCTCCCTTCCCAATTAAGGAGGTTTGGTGCAGACCAATTCCCCCTAGAGTTGGTAGTTTTTGTTGGGAAGCTTTTCTGGAAAGAATCAACACTGGTGATCTGCTCCAAAAGAAAAGACCCAAGACATTTTTATCCCCTTATTGGTGTGTTCTTTGTAAAGTGGAGGGGGAGACTGCCTTTCACCCATTGGTGACTTACCAATTTTCTAAGTCCATTTGGGGGTGGGCACTACCCCTTTTTGGGTGTAGTTGGAATCCTCCATCAAATTTGCAAAGCCTTTTTCCCCTTCTTTCTTCAGGTGTCGAAGGAAAAGGGGAAGGACCATGTGGAGATGTTTGAGGGCTGCAGTTTGTTGGGCCCTATGGGAGGAAAGGAATTCCAGAATCTTTTCTAAAGTAGAAAAAAGTAATGAAGAACTGAGAGAATTGATCCATATAAGGGTAGAACAGTGGCTGAAATCTTCAGAGCTGTTTACATATTTCACAATGGTTGATTTGTTGAGGAAGTGGGGTGAGATTGCTAACTGCACCCAGACCAAAGCAATCTTGTGTGTGTCCTGGACTCCCCCACCGGCTGGCTTCTTAAAACTAAACTTTGATGGGAGTAGTCGGGGGAATCCTGGACAATCGGGGATTAGAGGTGTGTTTAGGGATGAGAATGGGCTTGTCTCAACCATGTTCTCCGGACCAATTGGAGTGAGTGACCCTCTCAGGGCTGAAATCTTTGCAGTTATGGAAGGAGTTCAAAGAGCCAAGGAAATGAATATAAGAAAACTCATCATTGAAGGGAAATCAGAGGTGGTGGTAGGGTGGCTGAATAAGGAAAACAGCAGATTATGGATGTACAGTAACGAGAAGAGGAAGTTTAGGTGGCTAGTTCAAGAGATGGAAGTTAAGATTAGTTGGGCGAAAAGATCAGCTAACTCTTTTGCRGATGGGTTAGCTAAGCAAGGAGTCAAGAGGAGTCAATGTTTTGGGCACAAGTGTAATTTTTTCCATTTTGTTCTTGGGAGTGTTAAGCTCCAATTGGAAGATAAGAAAGTTTATCTTCCTCTTTGTAATTACTTTTGTGATTAAGTAATGAAATGTTGTTAGTGATCAAAAAAACAAATTCTTCTTCTTTTCATCCTCCATTTTATCAGCATGGCCTCTGGGTTCTATGTCATTACATTAGGGAGGTTGACCAATCTATAACCATACTACTGCCTACCAACAGCACCATTGCCCTATTCACTTCTTTAATCTTCAAGGTTACCTTCCCTATGATCATCACCTTCTTGAACCGAAAACTCTTTGCCTCAATCTGCAAGGACCTACTCCATCTCCAACGCTTTGATC